TGTATTAACTTTCTTATATGTTTCTAACCCCTCTTCAATTATTTGTGTAATTATTAGGTGATGAGTTAGTTCACTGCTCTACGATCATTGATCAATGAAAATTTTAAAAAACTTTCTGAACATGCTAAAGCAAATCAGAATATAGAAAGGGTATATCAAAGAAAGAAATATACTGGGAGACATGATGGTGGTATTCAAATGTCAACCGAGGCCAACTTACATGATAATCCCAAAGGCCAAACAAAGCATGATATAGCTGTTGGGGAGAATTCAGAGGCTAAATTTTTTTAACCTCTTTAGTATATATATATATATATATATATATATAGTATAATGATACATGTGTAATCAGTGTATTTATATGTTGCTATAACTGTATTCATGATTTTTCGAATACATATTGTAAATAAGATTTTACTATTATTCAGTGTAATCATATATACAACAACATACATGATTCAGAATACACTTATATACATGTGAATACAGTGTTGTATTTGTATTTATGATTTTTTGAATGTATATTGTTAATCAGCTTTTACTATTATTCAGTAGTCTCTTCTGTTGAGCCAATGGTCTCCTAAAAACGGCCTCTCTACCCTTCCGGGATAGGGGTAAGGTCTGCATACACTTTACCCTCCCTAGACCCCACTAGTGAGATTTTACTAGGTATGTTGTTGTTGTATATTGTTAATCAGCTTTTATTCTTCAGTCTAATCGTATATACAACAACATACATAATTCAGAATATACTTATATACATGTGAATACAGTGTTATATTAGTGAATATATTTATAGAATACATGTGGATACATTGACGGAATACAAGTGTGTACACCTACTTTGAACTTGGTATTTTATGTTTATTCTAATCTGTTAAATATAATTCTTTCAAATATGTGATATATTAATGTATTCAATTGGGTGTATGTTAAGGCTATGGAAAGGAAGCTGAATACTGATATTCATGACGATGGACATCCACATGCTATTTTAACTGGAGACACATTAAATGCATCTACAGGGGATATTTCTGTCTGTGGTGAATTAAGAAAGGAGGGACCTACTGCATCAGAGGTGACGTGTGTTATACCACCCAAAACTGGCGAGGATGTACCGGAGAAATACATGTGTCATAATTTGAGTTGGCGGATGATGACCTTCCAAGTCAAATTCCAGAAACTAGAATTGTGATACATCCATCAGCAAAACTTGTTGATTCACCGCATTTACCTTCTCATAGGACTCGACGTCCAAGTTGATGGAATTCTTCACCTTACGAGACAAACTTCGACTCAACCGATTAGTAAATTTTTATACAAAAACTATATTTTATAAAGCTATGTTTTATATCCCCATATTAACTTTAATTAGATATCGTTATTAATGACTTCAATGAACTGCAGATACTTCAGTAAAGTTGACTCCCATATTTGACAAAAAATATCCCTTTGAAGATGATTTAATATCGGGGTCACATTATACTTTAGTCATTCAAGAATTCGAGAAATGGATTCATGATGGTCTGCTTGCTAAACATGATCAAAAGTAAGTTTCTTCTTTCGATCTATAATGTATGGTTTTACTCTTTATAATGTGAAGTATAATATTTTTTTCCAAATCCTTGTAGAAAGGATAAGGAAGACCATTACAAGAAACACAAGTCAACACTGCCTATACTATTGGATTTTGGAGTTCATGAAGTCACTTCAAAAAATTAGTTTTACCTTCTATCATTTGACGGTCAACTATGGAATGACAATGTAAGATATATCCCTTTTATATTCAATTTAGTTAAATTCAATTTTTTCATTGTTTGGTTTCAATGTATTGAAATATGCATTCAGTTTATTTACATGTATTTATTCATGATGTGTCAATATTTGTGTTTCACTGTTTTATTCTGCATATTCAAATTTTGGATTCACTGCATTCACCATGTTGTATTCATTATATTCATATGTATTATATATTAACAGTAGTTAAGTTATTCTCAATACATGTTGCTGTTGTATTCAATATATATCAAAGGTTTATAATTACTGTATTCACTATATTACAATATTTATTCAAACTTCATTGTATTCACTGTATTCACTGTATGTATTGTATTCAGTTTTTTTATAGATCAATGTATTTACTGTATTTCAGTGTATTAAATGTATTTCACTGTATTCACTATATTCAATGTCTTCACTTTATCTGACAGTTCTCTGGGTTTCACTATTTTATCCAGCAATATGTATTCAGCTATCTTTGACTGTTTTATAGATCAATATATTCAATGCAAGTGTAGCCAAGGAAGAAGATGTTGTATGTGAATACATAAGGGGCTACAGATTGCTATCTAATGTACCATGGCATATAGTCGATAATGTCTTGATACCAGTTAATTTGAAAGATAAACTTCATTGGATATTGGCAGTTATCTCATTTAAGGAGAGATGTATCAATGTATATGACTCCTACCGATCAGCAGGCCATGATGCCTATGTGAGTTCTGAGATAGATAAGCTTGGTAAGCTTGTACCTCTGTAACTATCGATCAGTGATTTTTACAGAGATAAGCAAGGTATAGATCGATCCCGTGAACCAGGATACAATGACAAGGCACAAACTAAGCCTTTTGATGTTGTTTTTGTTTCAAATGTACCTCAACAAAGANATATATATATATATTGTATTTAACTGTGTCAATCTACTTTTTCAGGGACTGTGGGTTGTATGTCGCAGCATACGTAGAGTATTTGAACACTTATGGATTGGTTCCACAAATAACCTTTGATGCCAATTTACTCCATCAAAGATATAGTGCCCTCCTTTGGGACTATGTTATGCAGAAGATAGACGCCGATGCCATAAGCGACAATGAAGCACCCACAAAGATTGTTAGGCAATTCACAGATTCAGATAGTTCTGTGAAGATAGTTTTAAAATAGTTTTCTGTAAAACGGATTGTATTTGCAGCTTATTACTAAATACATCATGGTTTTACTCAACCTTTTTTTGTTTTTGAATACATGAATGTCTTTTGTTTTTAAGATGTTAATGAATGAATCCGTAACAGTCTTTAAGTTGTGCTATTAATTCATATAATATGCTGTATTTATGTATTAGCATAATCATCCACATAGTTCTATTATGTATTTATATAGTTGTATTATGCTGATACATATCCCTGCTATATTCAACATAATTCAATAGTTTTAATTCCCTGCTATAATCCAGCTATATTCTGCTATTTTTCAATGATAGGCAGCGTTGTTTTCAATGGTTTTTTTACTGTATTTATTATATTTAAATGATAGACAGTGTTGTATTCAATGGTTGTATCCATCGTATTTTATTGTATTTATTATATTTCAATAATAGACAATGTTTTATTCAGTGGTTGTATAAATGTCCTGCTATTTACATGCCCTGCTATATTCAGCATAATTCAATGGTTTTAAATTTCTGCTATAATCCAGCTATATTCTGCTATATTTTAAATGATTGGCAGTGTTGTATTCAATGGGTTTTTATTGTATTTATTATATTTAAATGATAGATAGTATTGTATTCAATGGTTATATTCATCGTATTTTACTGTATTTATTATATTTCGAACTTAACTATATTCAGTGATTATATTCTGTTTTATTTCCTACGTTTGTATTCTGCTATATTTTAAATGATTGGCAGTGTTGTATTCAATGGGTTTTTATTGTATTTATTATATTTCGAACTTAACTATATTCAGTGATTATATTCTGTTTTATTTCCTACGTTTGTATTCTGCTATATTTATGTATTAGTTTAATCCTCCACATAGTTGTATTATGTTTTCAGAAGTTTTTTTGAAATTGAATTACATATGTATTCAATTTCTTTTTTGAATGTACACTCATGTATTTTATGTATACATGTCATGCTATACCTCATACCTGTATATAAATCATTTTATAAAGATACCACGAAACATAATAGCATTCAATTTAGTAATCTAAACTTAAAAAAATCATCCAATAAGAATCCAATACACCAATGAATCAATATGTAATAGAAAACTTGAACAAATCTATGACATATAGTTATTGCAGTAATTAAAATCAGAATATGAACTAATTCCTACGTAGAGCATTTCTACAAGTACGCTTATTATGTCCTCCCTGCCCACATATACTACACGAATGTTGATTTTTCTTCTGAAATAATTCACTTAACGGCTTATCGCGCTTCTTCTTTGGCCTTCCAGGAGGTTTTTTCCATTTGGGTGGTAAGACAACTTTCTCTGATATATGTGTTGGTATATTCCATTCACTTCGGTCAGACAGTGGATATACGGGCACCTCGTATGTCATTACAACAGACTTTGGTTTGTAATAGTCCGAGTAATAATCTTCCGGCATTAGAAACTTGCTTTTCAAGACAGCCCAAGCATGTGAGCATGGTAATTCGTCAACTTAGAACCGCCCACAACTGCAAGTTTTCTCTAGGAGAAAAATGGTGTAATGCCTTCCTTCATCATTCACCATGTGCAAGTGTTCAGTCGATGGTACAACCTACATTAAACGGAGAAATATGAGTTGTGGATATTTGTATAAGTCGTGTATCTGTCAATGACTAAACGTATTAAATACCATATACATGTATATAAGAAAAATATTTAAAATACACTGAATACAAACACTATTTATCTGACAGAATATTAAAGTGAATACTTTTATTTGTGAAATACAGTAAAATATTGTCAATACAAAAATAAAACCACTAAATACAACCAATGAAATACAGTTGTAGTAACATGTATTATCAACATATAATATGCAGTTAATACAACATTTTTACACAACAAAATACATGCACTAGTATTATTATAAAAAAGGCAGGCAACAGGTTAATAATAGAGGTTGTATCAGGCATAAATACATGATGTATTCATATATTTTAATTTTGTCAATGCAAGTACTTATAACAACAAAAAAAAAAACTTACAGTCATACGTGTAGACAATATCTTATTCAATGTAAGGATCTCCTGGCATTTTTTTTTCAAGCGTTGTGTACATGTGTGAAGCTTCTTTTCGATTGCTGCAATTCCAACATCCAAACATCTTCCTAACTTCTTCTAGGAAGTCGTATATTGGCAATTCTCTTACAGATACAAGTGCAGAATTAATTGACTCGGCAATATTTGACGTCATAGTCCATCCCCGGTTAACAGGTTCATACAACCTAGCCCACTTATCGTATCCAGCTAATTCCAAGTATTCTTTCACCCGAATATCTGCCTTCTTCACCTTTTCCACTAGACTGTCAAATTCATCCTGAGTGTATGCTTTTGCCATCGAAAAGTATACCTCGCTCAACTTTGCATGGCTCTTTTTGAATTTCTTATATATGTTGTTCCATAGATGCCATATACAAGCAAAATGGGGTACCGTAAGATACACTATCGATAGAGATTTGATGATGCTCTCATTCCTATCTGAAACAATGTACATGTTTTCCCGCTCGCCCTAAGCTACCTTAAATTGCTCAAAGAACCACAGCCAAGCAACATCATTCTCTGAATCAATAACACCATATGCTAGTGGCAATATATGTCCTGTAAATACAATTGCATACAGATAAAAAAATATCATTCAAGATGTATTAAAAAGTCAAAATACCATATTTTATGTTAATCAAACTTGTATGTATTTTTTTTAACTGATTAGCCTGCACCATCCAACGTGCTAGCAGAGACGAATGTCCCTGTATATGTCGATTTTAGGTGGCTGCCATTCACAACCACTATGGGTCTACAGTAATCGAACCGCTTTATAAAAGCATACAACGATATATACAAATACAAGAACTCATTTTTAGGTAGTTTTTCCATTCTAATATGTGAACCGGGATATGTCATATCCAATGTATATAAGTACCCTGGTAATTTATTGTATGAATTAGCTGGTTCACCTATCAAAAAATTCATTGCCTTATCTTTAGCGCGCCACGCCAACATGTAACTAGCATCTACACCAAAGTCCGATTTCACATCATCAATTATATCCTTTGGCGTGTATTTCCTCTTATGATTAGTAAAGTTGGACCTAATCATTCCCCCAATCAACCAACTGGTTGCTTGACATTGGTCTTACACTTTATCCTTCAACGAACATGTATGTTTATCATTGAACTCCCTCACTTTGAACATTTGTGATTTGCTAATACTAGAAACCTTAAATCTCCATTCACAATCCTCAGAAATACATAACAATGTATAGCTGCAAATACATTTGTGTTATAAATACGACTGGTTATGTATGGATAAAACATATACAGATCCTACAGTTGATTCGGCTACAGACACACATTATTTTCATTTGCCAATAAAGTTTTGAATATATAAACATACAACGAAATACAATGTATGTTACATGAATATACTATAAAACTTTTTTTGAATACATTGCATGAAACAATGTATAAACATACATTAATATACTGTTTCACAACATTCAATTACAAGAACACTGATACAGAAACTTAGCATGAAGGAAAGCATATATTATGAATACAATATTATACTTGTTGTATTTATAAAATTCTGCCATGAATATTTTATAAAACTATTACGGATACATATCTATATAGTTGAATACAACATATTGGTAAAGAGGTTGTAAGTAATAACATTCAAACTTGATTGCATTAGACCTATCAACCCGGAATTGAAACCTTTCAGCAATTGCATATTGCTCCATCACCGCCTTCAATGTCGCCTTATCCTTATATACTTGTCCAGCCATGACCTCTCTTTGATTAGTTTTTGAAATAATCAAATTCCTTTCCGATTCGAAAACCTCAATTGGTTCACTTGAGTTTAAAGACTCAAGCGCAAGTATATCAATTGTATCAAATTTACTCACCCCATCTGTTTCATCTAGTTGCATTAGGTCACTTTGAATTAAACTTCCTCCAGCTATAATTTCTTTATCCATTGTAGTTATACACAATAGATATATCTTGAATTCTCTGTTCTCCTTTTTCAACTATACATACATCCTGTAACCCATGTCGTTGTGTATTTCCATAGGCGTGCAATTTTCTTCCACTTTGTTTTCAATTTTAATTGACTTTGAGCTCAAATCTATGGCAAGTTGCTTCGAAATTGAAGCAACCAAATCATTGTACGACACATACTCCTTTAACAGTATCCCATCAATCGAATAATCGATATAACTATTCTCAATGTTCCACTTGCCAGAATGACGAAGTAGCACAGTTAAACTTGCCATCTAGAAAATCGAATTTCAAACTATTTCAGTAGATACTTGTATCACTTCCTAGCATAACCTCGAACAATATCAGTGAAAAAAAAAATCTTGAACGATACCAGGAAAAAAAAGGAACTGAAACTCTGAAGAAGGCTCTGTTTTTTGGTATTTGTCGTCTGATAAATCTTCTCATTATTGATTGATAATGTTGCATGTTATAATTGTGTTTGTTGAGTTATATTAGGAGTGTATCACGTTAATTGATACATTTTTCGTTTTTAAACAGCTGGAGAGACCTATTTTTACGCAGATTGTCGTTATTGTATTCATGAATACAGTGCGAGAATACATATGAATACAGCGCCGTATAGCTGGATTGCCCTGTTTTTCGCCGAGTTTTGCTACGGTATTCATGAATACAGTAGCTTGAATACATTGAATACATTAGTATAACAACTGAAAAGGGCTATAGGAAGTAATTAAGTATATGGTAGCTATAGAAAGTTAATAGCCACTAAACAATAGTGATTTCTGAAAATTTCTCAAAATGATTAGCAATGAAAACAAAAAAAAAAAATGCTCGGAAAATGTGAACTACTTTAACAAACAAAGAAACAAAATTTACGTAAGCCTAAACTCCTTTCTGACTCTATCTTAGTTGCTCAAAACATTCCAAACGTTTCAAATCTCCTAAACTCACAAAATCATAAGAAAACTTTGGCCCTCTGGAGACAAAACTGATATCATCATACTCAATGGAGCCAAAAACTGGTAGTATCCGTCGTTCTGCTGCCTACAAAAGGAAGTATGTCCCTCAGCTGCATAAATTTACACCGATAGAGACGCCCCATTATCAGCCGCAGTTAGATTCAGTATCATATTAGCTGCCTTTGGAGCCCTGACAAGGTAGAAGGCTCTAAACATCAGCAAACTTCTAGAGTATGAAACTCATCTTGAGGCAAATGCATAACTTGAAACATAACTGTAGCATTCCTAGACAAGCCCCAATTACCGATTGAATAAAGATGTTAAAACTGCATTCAAACAGCCACAGAAATCGTATATAAGTAGTTCTTAGTTCATGACGAGTTTGAGGAGAGAAGGGCAGGTGTCTGGTAGAGGGATGCTGAATTGCCAAAGCACGATTGAAGCATGTCCGTGTAAATGACACCAGGATTATGTGCAAAAGCTGCCATTCTAGGAGGCAACTCCTTCGCAACTGACCTTGAAGTACAATATGGTGCCACCTGTGAAGATCTTATCAGGTCACAACAATTTTGGCCAGACTCCAACCCCCAGAAGTGATTTAAGCTAATTGGAATCGAAATAAATTGGCATTTTCATCACCCATTTGAATTGTTAATCTGGTGATGATTCACTTCCAAATTTTGAAGTTCCAGTTTAAAAGTTCATATTCGAGACCCAAAAAAACAAAATGCAACTTAGGTTCTTAAATGCTTAAAGGATCAATGTTTGAGTTCCATGGTCACTACAAATCATCTAGGGCAAATGTTCTCAACTGTCACCAAATTAACCTAGCAAAATGAAGCTCATCAAGCATATTGGCTCTTTGCATATTTTGAAATCCCTTAGTTATTAGGAAAAGATCCAAGAATTTATGACGTGGAACTCTAGGGACATAAAATATGAGATCCGATGCACAACTGGCGTACAAGAACCAATATTTTTGCAAATCATCAGCAATATGATTAACAGATTTAGAGTAGAAATATAAAGTTATGGTAATTTCAATAGAAACTGAGTTTTACCTGTGCAGCGGCAGATCTTCCCCATAAAGAAGACATATTTAGGATCACTCCTTGCTTCTTCTCAAGCATTAGGGGAATAAAGTGATGCAGAACATTTGCAGTTCCTTTTATGTTAGTGTCAACGACTGAATCAAACACTTCAGGTGGCACTTCCCATAGTTTGTTGTTCCTATTAATAGTTCTTGCGCTGTTCACTGAACGAGGTTCATATTTTAGGTTTTTTTGAATGTGAAATAACAAAGACCACAAACTATAGGGGTGTCAATTTAAAACCATAATCCGCATATTTGCTTCCAAATTGCTAATCTGTCAGGTATTAACAAAGGATTGGGCACCAATTATCATCTTTGCTTAACAACCTCCTTCCATAACTCCCTACCATTACCATTTAACCTCCATAACAACCTGAAAAGCAAGCTCTTGTTATGTATCTTTGGATTTTTAATCCCCCAGCCCCCTCCTTTTTTTATCCAACATTACTGTTTGCCATTTCACCATATGAAATTTCTCCTATCAGCACTTCCTTCCCATAAGAATTTGCTCCTTAGAGAATTTATCCTCTTTTCAGCTTTACTGGGAATAAGAACAAGTGAATCAGATAAGTGGGCATCCCATTCAGAACACACTATTCACCGGTGCAAGTCTACCACCAAAAGATCGAAACTGTTTCTTCCAATGGACCAGCTTCGTAACACATTAATCAATCACACCTTGCCACACACCCCCTGATTATTATATTTGTCCCTAAAGGAAGCCCCATTTAAACCAAGGGATAAACATCAATTTTCCAATCCATAATACTTGCCAAATCCATGATGCAGTCACTGCATTCAAGAATTGCTATAAAATATATATTAAAAACAGAATTGAAAAGACTTTTAAGCGCGAAACAAGCCATCGAAAGGTTTTAAAAGAACTGAATAGTAAAAAGTAACAGACAAAGTTAGTCATTACACCATTACTACAAAGTAGTAACAGATACTAGATACTTGGCTAACTACACACAAAGCACTAAATACTAGTCAATTGGCTAAGTACACAGTCACTAAACACAATAACTACTAACATCCACTAGTCAGGTCAACTACACACTGAAGTTACGAAGCTAGTTACTTGGCAGGGGTCTTCATTAGCTCACTTGGAGCAAAAAACCGCGTGGGAGACACCTGATAAAAAGGCGGCAGCCACAAGAGAATTAAATGCGAAATAAACTATGAAGAACTGATGGAAAATAGGAACAGATGCAGAAATTGGCATTTGCACCACCCTCTTCTCCATCATATCGAGATTCTCTCTGACCTTCTCCACTTTCTTCCTTGTATCAGCATCCATTTCCTGCTCCAGCCCGCTCAACTTAAGTATCTCAGCATTGATTTCATCCCCGAAAGCTGATAGCTTTTCAGCTAGATATTTCACCTCAACTTCTTTCACATATTTTATTTTCATAAAGGCAAGATAGCAGCAAACAAAAGTCCCACTTATTTGGACCAAACCACTCACAACCGTAACGTAAAATACGGGACATTGTAGAGTTTTGTTTGAAGTTAGGGCAAACACCAAAAAATAATTCATCGCAAAGAAAAAAGCAACAGCTTTTAGAGAGAATTTCAAGGGATTGAGAAGTTCACGTTGTACCAGACTTTCGTCTTCGTTTAGAGATAACAGTTTGGTCGTCAATTTTTTTGATTCAGCTGTTACTTCTTCCACAACCTTCAGAACTTCAGCCATAGTGTTGGAGAGAGGGAGGGAAAGGGGCCGGCGGGGTGCACAATCGAGAAATTGAACGAAGAAAACCGTCGCTATATGTAAGGGTCAAAGTAAATGTAAAGAGTAAACAGGATAAAAATAACTAAATTCAGAATAGTCCTTCGTAATACGTGATTCGAAGCTTAAAATATTTATCAGACTTATATTACTAATACTAATAAAAATAGTTGAAAGTTTAGTTCTCCTATAAAAGTTTAATATTTGAGTAATTTAACGAATTCGAATGATGTTGAACGTAAACAGTAAATACCAATTTCTGATCGTCCATTTTTTTTTAAAATTATTTTATTTTCATGTTATTATTATTGTCAGAAAAATTCGGGGAAAGAAAAAAGAATAAACCTTTAACTTAGGAGAGTAATCATACGATTAAGGAGAACGAAGGTCGCTTATTCTTTTATACACGACTAGGGGTGGTAAGTGGGCCGGGCCTGGTCCTAAGTGGACTTCGCGGGTCCGGTCCTAAGTGGGCCGGTCCTATGCGGTCCGGTCCTAAATGGTCCCGGGTTTCGCTGGCTTATTGTTGGAACCGGCTTGGGACCAGGACCACGAACTAACGGTTCCGGGTTAAGTGGGCCGGTCCCGGGCCTAAACGGGCCCAAACGGGCCTAAACGGGCCCAACAGAAACTTTATATTTTTAATTTATTTTTTTAATAGAAGTTAGAGAAAAAAAAATAGTAATAAAGATATATAAGCTATATTCGATTTATATACTATATATACATCTTAAAATATATATATACTATATTATATATACATAG